GGGAATCCTGTCATTTGCAACAACATGGATGAACCTGGAGGACATTATGTTAAGTGAAATAAGCCAGGGCACAGAAAGACAAATACTGCACAATCTCACTAATATATGCAATCTTAAAAACTTGAATAGTAGAGAGTAGAATGGTGGTTACCAAGGGCTTGGGGTGGGGGTGGGAGGGTACGAAAATGTTGGTCAAAGGGTACAATATTTCAGTTAGATAGGAGGAATAAGTTTAAAAGATCTATTGTACAATATGTGACTGTAGTTAATAACAGTGTATTCTCTAAAATTGCTATGAGAGTAGATTTTAAGTGTTCTTACCATAAAAAAGAAGGTAAGTCCATGAGGTAATACATGTGTTAATTAGCTTGACTTAGCAATTCCACAATATATGCATATTTCAAAACCTGTTGTACATGATAAATATATATAATCTTTGTCAGTTAAAAAATAAAAAACTAACCTAGAGCTTAATCATGGAAGCATGATTTAAAGATTATCAGAGCTGTTAGATCCATTGTACCCCTTGTACCACTTCAGTTGTGTTCGCTTCTAGGTTGCAACAAATGTATATACTTTTTTCCTAAGATGAAATTAGCTTTATTGAAAAATAAAATTTACCATTTAGAAAGGAACAAAAAGAAAACCAGAGACCTTGGTTTTAGAACAGGTCTAGACCAAGGATTCTTAACTTGTCCATGAATGGACTTTAAAGTCTTAAGAACGGCAGAAAATTATATGTAAAATGTGCAGCCATGTGTTTTAATTTTCAGTACCTCAAGGGATCTGCAACCCAAGAAAGATTGAAAACCACTGATGAAAGAAACTGGGAAACCCAATAGTCTTATGTATTTTCAAAAAACCTTCTTTAGGTTTTGGAGGAAGTATTTGTGTCATTCCACAAGGCCAAATGAAGTGGGGCAATTGGGTAGAGATACTGCAGGTGGATCTGAAACAACCTGACCATCAACCTATAGTACAAGAGGCTGCCTTGTGAGGTGGTGTCACAGAGTATTTATGCAGACCACCTGTTGGAGATACTGTTAAAGTCCTAGATTGACAGGACATTGGCTGAGAGGACCCCTGAGGTCCCAGTGTTCTTTACTTCTCTGATTAAAGCCATTTAAAGGAGCAGGTTGAGCTACTTGAAGAAAATCAGAAGAGAATAAGGTTTATAGGTCTCCAGAAACTCATGTTAGAAATTTGAGAATGGTGTGATTGTTTCTGATGCAGTAGAGATTTGGAGGTAGTTGAGACTGAAGCTCAGTCCTAAGGAAGCCATTAGAAACTTCAGGAAGAGTCAGCTGGGTCGCACTGGAAAAACAAGTGGTTTGGAAACCATTGAAAGCCTGACTGTAACTAGGGAGCAGGATAGGAAAACAGGATTATCTGGTTGCTTAAAACTTAATTTTCTGCTTGAAAGTACTGTAGTTATGAATCATACCTTGATTTAAACCTGTAATTTCTAGAAGTTTATATTTCTAGCGGGGTTCTTGGACCATCAAGACAGCTCGTCAACCAAGTGCTTCAAGGAGGAGAACTAAGCAGCTCTCCATTTTCGAAAGGCTTCTGTAATGTAAATAGGAACAGCAGTCTTTCCAAGTTATTACCCTGTTAACAGGTTGACAGATATGTGCAAATTGTGACTCACTGCTCAATTTGGCACTAAATTAATGTCTTTCCGCGCCGCGTCTGCTCAAGTGTAAACTAGTCACCACTGCTGTGTTACTGCTTGTTTGCCTATATTCCAAAGGTAAAAATTAAAGTAATTTGATTCTGCTGCAGAACAGAGTGTAGCATATGGTGGAAGTGTAGGAGGAGAGCACGCTGTTCCTACCTGTCCTTAGCCCTGCTCTCAGAGCGGGGTGCTGCAAGTGCTGCAGAGCTCTGTGCAGACACTGGCGGTGCCCACCGGCTTGGGAGGAAGCATTCTGAGAAGTGCTGCCAAAGACCATCTCCCTTACCAGCCCTCCACCCTTGACTGAAAGAGAGTGTCATTTTTGTCTCCAGATTTTTAATTTGAACTTCCAAGCTTTCCTTATTTCTGTCAAGTCACTAGTGTTTGATTGTGTTTCAAAGGTTGGGTCTATTTGAAAATGAAGAGTTTTGATTTTTGCTTCTAGAATTTAGACATTGTTTTTTTCGGCTAAAGATGCAGCTGACTTTCTCTCACTTTTTCTTTTTGGCAAATACATAATGTCACCTGTAAAAAAGAAATTTGCATCTCCTTTGTGTTATGCATGCGAATGAAAAACAGACTCCTTAAAATTTGTTCTTGCTTAATAAAATCTTTAAATTGAGTTTGCTGAGCTTTATCTGAGGTCATGGATTGGGGAAGAAACAACAAAAAGCCACTCCAGATCTCTCTACTTTGCTATGCCAACTGCAGATATTTTTCCTAGGAACTATTTTTCTTCTGCTGTTACAAGTAAAAATCACATAAATAAGGGAATCCAGAAATGGCAAGGAGCATTTGTTGTTTGCCCATTTAGAATTCTAGCCCTTACTAAAATTAGCAAGCAAATTCAGGTAATTGGCGTGGAATTCTAGCATTCTACACACTGAGCTTGGTTTCTGGTTTTTTGTGTGACCTGGGATCAGCATTTAACCTACCCATTCCTTTATTTTCCTAGCCTACTAAAAAGACTAGTTTTCCAGAACATATTTTGAAGACTTCAAGGTGAAAGGTACAAGGGAGAGCAAATTATGATGTTACCTTTGTGCTGAAGTTCTGCATATTCATTTGCTTTCTCCTGTCCAGAGCTATGATGGTTATTGATTGAGGATCAGTTCAGAAGACATTGCCTACCCTCTCCCCATTAGCATATACTTAGCAGTGACCTCCAGTCACACAGGACAGTGGATTTTTGCTCCCTGCTGAGTCAGAAGAAACTGGATTTAAACCACACATACAGATTTAGAAAAGAAGTATGTAAATGTAGACATGTTTCCAGTGACCCGGTGTAAACTTTTGGCATGAAGTTTTTGTCATGTGTCCTCTGCCATTTCCAGAAACTTCAGGTAGTGATGAAAAATGAGTTAATTTCCTCCTTTCTTCACTTTTTCACCTGTTTTGTAGCATTTAAGCTTAGATCTAAGATTGTGTGTCATGAAGCTGTAAATTTAGAAGGAATCTCGGGAGATGATGTGTGGTCAGTCTGTTTCTTAGCCATCTAGGAAAGATTGTTTTCTAAACCATTAAAAAAAAAAATCAACAAAATGGGGTCTTACCTTTAAGAAATGCCTCTTGTTCTTTCTGAGCAAGTTTGCCTTTTGGTGCCATATCCTCATGGTATGGTCCTTGTGAGAGATGGAAGGTGCTGTTTGGTACTGAGTTCATAAAAGCCGTTTGTGTACTTGAAGAATATATGAAAGTCTCCCGTGGGCCTTCTTATCCCCAGGAGCAAATACCCTTCATCGCACCTCCACCTCTTCTCACGCATCTCTGCTGTCTTCTCACTGTCGTCATTATTCACCACTGGGCCTTCTGTAGTTTTTCTCCTTCCTTCTTCAACTCAGAAGTTCAAAACTCTATATAACATTCTCTAAGGACAACCTGATAGATTTACCAGTAGGATCACTTTCTGACTTTCATAGCTGATGTGTTGATGTTCACTTTTTAACAAATGTCATTATTTGTCTGCTGTCTCTCATGAGCCCCAGAAGTTCGAACCAAAATCTTTTCATGTTGTGAACAGAGAACTAATCTTCCTCTTCCCCCAAGAGAGTATACCTTTTATATGTCCCTGACATAATGGACATGTAATTTAATTTGTCATATCCAATGGATATGAAATCCAATGCAAAATCTTTAATAGATAGTTTTGCATCTCAGCTATTATATTATACATCCCTTTTGTGTCCAGTGTGATTGGATGGTGAGCACAAATACTTGTATGATTTTATTCTCAGAGGACCTATGCCAGACCTGGCTCTGTTTTGCATGGGCTGATGTCTTCACAATGAGCCTCCACTGCAGAGAAGAATTCATCCCGATAGAAAGCATTTTTGCAGAATAGGCCCATGGTGTATGTGGTAGAACTACCAATAAGAGGACGTATAATTTTTGAGTCCTTTATACGTGCCAGGCCCCATGCTCAGTGCTTGATGTCGATGATCTCTATTATTAAACCCCGAGAGACATAGGTTTCATTTGGTCTAGAACAGAGGACCCCTTTTGGTGGGATATCTCCAAGGGAAAAATGGAGCTAATTGCTTACCCGATAAGTTTGTAGTGAGAGAAGTTTTAGAGTCAGGTAGAGAGTTTAAGAATAAAACTGTAACAGGTACATAGAAAACCAATCAAAGGAAAATCAAGACAAAGCAGAAATCCAGGAAAATAGAAAGCTATATAAGTAAAAGTACTCATGAGCTACTATGTGGCTCAGCTATTAAAAATATAAGCAGAGATTTTAGAATATAAACAGAATACTGACTTAAGCAAAAATTGTGATATAATTTGAGTAAGAGTCCAACCAGGAAAACAGGAATGATGTGAGGTATTTAAAGCAGAAGAAATTTAATCCATGGAATTCGTTATTCAGGTGACTGAAATGAGAAAGCCAAACAGAAGTCAGTGAGACAGCCCAGAGGTGAGGACCTGCAGCCAGCCTTGGACCAGAAGGACAAGGGAGGAGGCTGTGTTGCTAGAGCCAGTGGCCAGAAGGGTGACTGGGCTCAATTCTGACCTGCTACAGAAGAAAGTTAATAGGTCATGCCTCGAAATGAGAAATCAAAAGCTGGCATTAAAAACACATGATTTAGAAATACAGAGTAAATACCAAAAGAAATCACCAAAAAAATGTTGGCTCTAGGAAGGCAAGGGGAGGAACTGGGGAATAGTGTTTTTTGTAGAAAGTCTTATAATCCTATTTGCCTTCTTAAAAATGTATTATAATGATAAAAACTTAAATTTAAAAGGAAAGTCTTGAGTATACTGTAAATTTTTAGTTCTTTGATTGAGGCTCTAGTTCACACATGTATATTTTTCCCTCACTTAGATATGTTGATGATGTGATCAGCCGCATTGACAGGATGTTTCCTGAAATGTCCATCCACTTATCCAGACCCAATGGAACATCAGCAATGCTCCTGGTAAGATCTGCTTGACCTATTTGTAGGGACGTGTGGGAGAAAAATTGACTTCAAAATTAACTCTCTACTCCTGTGTTGTGGAATCTGTAGAATGGAGATTAAATCCCAGTTCTATGGTAAATAACATATTTTCTTTACTGGCATTCTGTAGGTTAAAAATTCTGTACCCTGAAACCTTGCTATTGAACAGAACCACATAAGAGTTCACCAGAAAAGAAAGATACTATAAGACCATTTCACCTTAAGTCAGTTGATGGTGCAAACATCCCAATGTTTTGGTGAATCCATTTTGTATTTGCCCAAAGAGATACATGAGGCAATAGTGATGCTCAACTATTGGATCCTGCTAAAGAAAACACTCTCTTAAAACAACCTAGTTCTGTGGAAATTATTTACAATATTCACTATGTATTTGAAGAAAGTGTTCTGAGGCCTCCTTACCTACAACTTCTGATTTTGTCGATTCTGATTTTGGTTTGCTCTGAACAAATTAGTCTCATAATCTCATTGTTGATGTTTGTATTTGCATGAATTCAACAAAGATAGGTGTGTTTTGGAAATACAGTGGAATAGAAATCCTAGATATTATTAGTTCAAAAGACATAGAGACCTCAACGATAAGAAGCCTTTCTGATGGCCTGCGTGATAATATGCACTTGAGGAACATTTCCCTGAACACAGATTTTGAGAAACCACCACCTTTTATAGAAAGCAGAGTTTATTGAATGAGAGTGTTGGTTTGATGGGTATCTGGAAGGTAAGGTTTGGGAGTGTTTTTTACATCTAGTCAGTTGCTGCTGCTTTGGGACCTAGTGTGAACTCCTCATATTTTAGCATTTTGCTTGTGTAAAAGCTTATAAATAGCCAGTCACCCAGGATGAGTTACTATTCACTCAAGCCATTCATCTTAAGAGAACAGGCTTATTCTGAGTGCATATGTGTTTTTCTCTGAAGAAAAGATGTGGGCTTCTTAAATGTGTGATATTTCATTTGTGGGGGAAAAATTAGTGAAGTTTATCTGGGTAACATACCACTTTTTAAAAAAAATTCTTTTAGTTAAAATTTAAAGAGTATCAGATAATATAGTGATTTTAATAGAAAAGGAAAATAATTTTCTTCATATAAACTATATCTCCACAACATGAAATATTTTATGCCTCAGTTAAATGTACGAATTGTCTAGATTTTTAAGATCCTCCAGACCCAGCAGCCAAAACATAAATCCTATTTTGAGCATACTTGACAGGGACCAAAGAGTTAATGAAGATAAAAACGAAAGCGTCCTCAGTGAAATAGGTTTGTTCAGATTGTTTCTGGGTCATTGAGCTTCCATTTCCTGATGAAGGTAGGAATTTGGCATTGAAGGGAATGAGTGGAGTGAACAGGATTCTAGGCAAATGGGCCTGAGATAGTAGAGTTACTTCCGCCCGACAAAGCAGGCCTTAATTTCACAATGACTTGTCAGCCTCGTCTGCTTTCTCATGGCGCTTCTGTCCTAGTAGACTGATGAGAGAGTTCAGGGGCTCAGTTCAGGACAAGAATCCCATTTTACATACACCATTTTTTGAAACCCCCAGCACGCCCTGTAAGTGGCTAATTCAGATACACATGCGTCTAGGTGGCTAGTTGTTACCTTTCTGAGTGGCACAGGAACTCACAGAAGGAGGTGCTTGTTTATAGGAATAGTAGTGGCTGATCTGATTCAGAATCAGATTGCCAGGTGGGGTAATCGTACTTTTAACATAATTACATTATTTGTCTTTTACTTTTAGAAGATGATGTTTTATTAGATGGCAAGCCTCCAGGCCATTTGCTGCCACCACACTCATCTTCTCTGATGTTGAAGAGAATTGTCACCTGAGAGGGGGAGCAGGACCAATAACAGCTGCCACCTCCCCTACCTCTGCTAGTCACCTGTTCCCTAGACCTCGGTGGAAAAGGTTTGTGGCCTAGACTGTAGGCAGGAGTCGAAAGTGTTTTTTGGAGATTAATCTGGAATAAATTGTTTTAGTCTGGAATGCAGTATATTCTGAAAGGATTTGGGAGACGAGCGAGACTGATGTGGAAAGACCAGTTAGGAGGCTATTGAAGCAGGACACACTTGAGCAGTCTCTGCTAACATCTCTTTTTACCTCTGTTGGCCAAACCTGAACTGTGCCTGTGCTTTTTTTTTTTTTTTTTTTTTTCCTCCAAGGAATTATGCAGAGTGAAGTGTCTGTGCTTTTTAAATAAAATGGCATTTCCTCCTGAACCAGCTAGGCTTCTTGAATGTAGTCAACAGAGGCCTGCTCTGATTAACTTAAGCAAGGAAAGGAGTTGTTTTGGTTTTGCTATTTGATGACACTGAGTGCTCACAGACTCAGAGATTGAGCTGACCTGCCAGGAGGAAGAAAAACAAGGCTAGCAGGCCGAGGTGCCCGTGGCTCACACCTGTAATCCCAGCACTTTGGGAGGCTAAAGCAGGAGGATCACTTGAGGTCAGGAGTTCAAGACCCAGCCTGGGCAACATAGACAGACCCCATCCCTTTAAAAAAAAAAAGCGGGGGGGAGCTCCAGGCATGTCAGGAGCAACATCAGGACAATGTCCTTTTGGGACCCTGTGGCCCAAATGATTCCATGTCAACTGCCTTCCATCCCTGTATCACACAACCTGGGAGGAATACTCCTGCTGGCACAGCTTGAGGTTGATTCTCACCTGTGGTTTGGGGGAAGGTCAGGCCTTGGGAGCCCCACGGAAGTGGAGGGGAAATCATTCCCCAGAGGAAGCACCAACCTGCATGGTACAGTGACAGAGTGTACAGAGCCTCGTGGCTTACACAGTGCTCATCTCATTTGATCCTCACAGTGGCTCTCGAAATAGGGAGCACTGACTGTGTTCATTTGACAAGTAGAAACCTGAGGCAGTTGCTCTGGCTTGTGCAGCTGGGACACCTACCTCATTACTTCCAGCCACCAGGATGCTGTCCTCCTGTCTCTGAGGGATAGCTCGTGCTAGTGGCAAGTAAGATTTGGACCAGCCTGATAATTTTTTACTGTGTAATTTGATATATACAAAAGAATGTATGTACTATGCAAATTACAAAGCATAGATAAATCCATGAGCTCCGCACTCAATTTGAGAAGCAGAACGTAACCAATGCCTGCTCCTTCCCAATCCCTGCCTCTCCACCTGAGATCATCTCCACCCTGAGAATCACCCCTTCTCCTTTTCTCTTTCGTTGTTTTTTTTTTGAGACAGAGTCTCACTCTGTTGCCCAGGCTAGAGTGCCGTGGCATCAGCCTCGCTCACAGCAACCTCAAACTCCTGGGCTCAAGTGATCCTCCTGCCTCAGCCTCCCGAGTAGCTGGGACTATAGGCATGTGCCACCATGCCCGGCTAAATTTTTCTGTATATTTTTTAGTTGTCCAGATAATTTCTTTCTATTTTTTTTAGTAGAGACGGGGTCTTGCTCTTGCTCAGGCTGGTCTCGAACTCCTGGGCTCAAACAATCCTCCTGCCTCGGCCTCCCAGAGTGGTAGGATTACAGGCGTGAGCCACTGCGCCCGGCCCCCTTCTCCTTTTTTAAATACAGTGTGCCACATGTGCCCGTATTCCTAAATGATGGATCACTAAGTTTTGAACTTTACGAAGATAGTATACTATGTGTACTGTTTCTGAGATGTGTCTCTGTTGGTGGTTGTATCTGCAGTTTGATCATCTTCATTGTCATCTATTTTCCCTTCTGTGACTATCCACACTTTATTCTTTCTCTTATGAACTCATGTTGGAGTTGTTTCCAGTTTTGCTTTTTAAATAGTGTTGGTCTGAGCATGAGAATGAATTTTTAAGCCTCAGCTCAAGCCATGGAGCCAGTGCAAGCCCCTGTCTGAGGGAGGAGGGGAGTGCTGGAATCAGTGGGAGTAGATGGCTTTTTCCTCAGAGTCACCTGAGTTATGAAACAATGGTGTGATGCCCACACAGTGTGCAGGGGGTCCCACAAGTGGCTCCTGTTAAATGGCCTTGGTTCTGCATTCCAGAAATTTTGTTGCTGTTCTAAATCTCTTCTGCTTTTGGTATAGAGGGGTTTCCAAGGCAGTTCGTGGACAAAAGGCAGGTTTTGGTATTACAGTTTTCAGCGAGCAATTGCCGCCAAGAAGCAGGAGAGTTGTACAACGATCTGTAGTTGGGAGCCCCAGTCCCTCATCAACAGTTCCTTCACGGTATAAAAGGGGAGAAAGGTGAGGGGACTACCAGATTGATACTTTTTGAGGCTTCTATTTTAGGTAGTTGAAGTCAGTTTGGCTCATCGAAAGCCAAACCAAGTTTTTTGTTGTTGGCCTGGAAGCACCAGGGTTTCAGGACACATCAGAAACTTAGGAGCTGTCACCTTCTGTCCTGGGACTGTTTGACCTGGAAGCACATGCTTGAATCCTCTTCACAATGTGAATCCACAGATAGTGCTCGCTTAGGAGATGAGCTGGGGTGAGAGGAGGGAAGGGAGAACAAACAGGTGCTCAGTATTTGCTGAATGAATACATGAATGGCAGAAATAAAAGCATCTGTGATTTTCATGTGTGTCAGTTTCTCCATATTGGCTGGCAGGGAGATCTGCTCTTTGGCTACTCAGGGGAGAGGGAATAAGGCACTTGTAACTAATTTGATTCTGAAACTGACAGGACAGTTACTGGCTTAACTTCCGGTGTACCCTATACATTCTAAATCCTAGCTAATGTGAAATCTAAACTTTCAGCCTCTTACTAATCTTTAAGTACATTTTGTCTCTCTGCTCTGTTTGGGGGCGTTTTGGTGATGCATAAGTTAATAACTTATGATATAAGTCCTACTTCCTTTCTTTGAAGAGATGAGCTCAGTCATCCAAAAATAAATCTAGCTATGTTGATATTTAGTTTTAGTTAATCTACCGCCTAACATCCCATTATTAATTTCTTCAAACAGTCAAAATATTGTAAGAGCTTAACTGAGTCAGAGGCTGGAACAAGCTGCTGGCTTCTCTCAGCAT